AAGGAACAGTGCTCGTGGGCTTGGGGTGCTGTATTTGCCTGCAGATCCCATGTGCATTTGGGTGTCAGAGTTTGGAACCTGGTCACCACCAAAGTGACTCTTGAGAGCAGAGGAGGAGGAGGAGGTTTCCAGAAGCCTGATCTTAGCTCCTGGTCCCACTCCCCTCCCAGCGTGGCCCCACAGCACTGCAAAGCCCTAACAGGGAGGGCTGACTTAAGGAAGGGAGTGGCAACCCAAATTTAGAATTTCCTGCTGTTTAATACTCAGAATTGATTTGCTTTCTGATTAAGGAGGAAGAGGTGCTGAGGTGAAAAAAAAAAAAAAAGCGGAAGCCAGAGGTTGTGGGTGACCTTCCAAATCTCGGCTGGGGTTGGAGACAGGCACATGGAGTGTTCCCACTGTGTGTTCCCACTGAGCCCTGGAGTGCCTGCAGACCCCTCTAATCCCACCCAGAAGGGCTGTGGGCTGTGTCCTGGAGCTTCAGCTCTGCTCAGCTGCAGAAAAACACGACTTGGGGAGTCTGTTTGTGCCTTGAAATATGGGTTTTTTTTTTAACTTCCCCTCTCGCAGAAGCCGACTGCCGAGGCACCGAGCTGCTGAGGAAACTCCCTGGATATGCCAGAAAAGGTTTTCCAGCAGAGCTAGGTCACTGTAGTTTTACTGGCAAAGCCTCTTAAGCATAAATGAAGATTATTCTGGCGAAAGCTTATGCTGGTACAGTTTATTCCGGTACAAATGAGCTATCCTGGGGAAAAAAAAAAAAAGCACCTCTGTGCTCTTGGAATTGTTTCTGCTTTGGGACATTTCGTGGTCTAGAAATGTTAAAATCACAGCCCTTCGTGATACTGCCGGATCAGCAGAAGCTGCTTTAGCTGCTGCAGACGTGCCCTGGCCAAGCAGCAGCACTTGGAGTCCCGTGCACTGCGTGACAAAATGCCACAGGGAAGGATTGCAAGGGCTGGTGGCATTCTGGATGCTTCCAGCGACCGCAGCTCCCAGAGGGTCTGACCTGCCCATCTGGGATGCGTCCAGCCATGGATATTTGCTGGGTCCAAACTGGAGATTTGTGCTCTTGGCCCCAAGAATGCCAAGGGAGTGGAAAATAGCAGTAGAACTGCCCAGGGATGTTGGGTACTTGGCTGCACTGGTCTGATGCAGCTGGATGAAAATGGGGACAAATGTTTTATGAAGATGGTTTTTTCCCCTCATTGAACATTATTAATAATATCCTTGTTCTTTTTCTTCTTATGGTGATGATAATAGTAAGAGAGTTCTGTCTGTCACAGAGGCAGGAGGGAAAAAGAACCACAGGAAAGGTTGATTCAGCAGTTGAGATGCTACCCTGCATCTTGCAGTAGCCAGGATCTATTCCCAGCTTTGGCTCCCATTTCCTGTGTGACCTTGGTGAAGGTCACATCAACCTTCAAAGCCAAATTTTTAAGTCGTTGTCTGCTAGAAGGGCTCCTGCCTCCTCAGGGGCATTGCTCTCCCCGTGCCTCAGCTTCCCCACCCAGGATGGTGGAATCCTGAAGAGATCTTGGAAAGGCAGGTACCTGCTGAGGGAAAGGGCAGGGAGGAGCACACTGTGCCAGAAAAAACAAGGCTCAGGCTCATTATCTGGAGGCCAGATCAGAACCCTCTGGCTCTGGTATCCGTGTGGTGGTTCCTGTGCCGCGGAGCAGAGCCGGGATCACGCCCGTGGCTCTGTGCAGCCACAGAGCACCATCACTGCAAGATGGATCACGTGGCCCTGCCCTGAATGTCATATTCTTTGGGAAAAATTCCCATCCAAATTCTGTGGCTGGCGGGTCCGTAGTTTAGAGGAAGAAAAAAGAGCTTCACTGCAAATTCTTCAGCTGCTGACGAGCTCTGGTTTCTGATCTCCCAATTGCCATGGGGCATCTTCTGGGATATATAGAGGTCGTTGTGCTTAAACAAAGGACACACAGAGAAAATAGCTGCAGTTGATGGGTGTGACAGAGGGGAAATGCTTTCAGAACTTTTTCTCTCTCTTTTTTTTTTTTTATTTAGAAACAGGCAAAGAGTTTATTTTGATCAAGAGATAGTCACACACAACAGCTTTAAATGGCAGAACTCCACAAGGAAGAGGAATAGTCTCACACTACTTGAACTGAAAATGCATTTGGGAAAATGCCTCTTGTGTTTGCTGCAGTCCAAGTGGTGTTCATCAGTTTGGGAATTTGTTTCAATTAAGGGTTTTTCCTCAGTCTAGGCTTTTTTTCCTTTTTTAAAGCATTCATTTTTCATTCAGGGTCCTCTAGGATACTTGTGATGAGGGAGGAGGGTGAGCTCCTCATGTCCTGCTCCCAGTCCTCATCTCCCCACCTCGAGTCATTATTTTCTCAAAACTCATCTTCCCGCTGGGAACACTCCCCCTCGAGCCAGGGGCTGGCAGCATCTGCCCTGAGTTGCCTCAGGTGGACTCTTGATTTTGCTAAGGATAAAACCCCAAACCCTTTTCCATATTTGCTTGTTGTTTGGAGGTAAAACGTTTTCCATTGCTGCAGCTCTTCCAGCGGGGTTTTGGAGGGGGGAGTGTTTGGATGAGCAGTGGAAACATCCCAGTGTCCAGAGGGCTGCTTGAGCTGGACTCTGAAGGAGTTCAGGTCTGGTTTGGATTTCAGAGCATGTGGCCAAGGGGTTTGGATGAAAAAACACACCCAAATCTGTCCATGCCAGCACCCACACCTCCCTGTTCCATGCTCAGTTAGTCCTCTCCTCTCCTTTTTGTTGTTGCCTGAATTATTCTCTCTGGACCATCCCTCCCACACACCCCCAGCTCATGACTGGGTGCTGGGTGCTGGGGATCACATCCATGTGTGAACAGGGTGGATGAGGGGAGCTGATGTGACATGGGATGTGCAGGGATGGGGAGCTCCCGTGGTACCCCAGGGACGGGGATTTCGGGACAGGTGCTGGCCCCACACGTGCTTTGCTTTCTGATGTGCTTGAGTAGGCGTGGGCTGGTCGCCAGTAACCTGCCTGTGACCTCTCCTGCCTTAAATATTCAGGATCTTTTAAAAGGAAAGACTGGGCTTCGCTGCCTTCCCTTTGCCGGCGGGTCAAGTGCCTGTTTCCCCTGGCTGGGGATCTGGGGGAAGGTGTCCTGCATCCTTGGAAGGTGTCCACCCATCACCTCAGCTCTGGGTGTTTCTGGGGTCCTTCAAGCCTGGCTGGGACCCCCTAACTCTGCTCCAGGATGAGCTCCTGCCTTTTCCCCCTGCTGGGATGGCAGTGGGGAAAAAACACCAGGAGCAGAGAGCCGGGAAGCACAGTCCCACTGTGCTAAAGCCCTGGAGCAGACCCCAAAGCCTGAAGGAATTTCCTGGGGTTCCTGTTGTGCCGCCCGCACGTCACTCAGCCAGGGGTGACGTGGTGGCCTGAGGTTGTTTTATATCAACATCCTTTGAGAGCCAGTCGAGGCCAGGCCCCCAGGGACAGGAATGCTCCCTTCCACCACAGGCCAGGGATGCTGATGGGATGCTGGGGGCTGTGATGGGATTCTGGAGGCAGCAGTGGGGTTCTGCGGGCAGCAGTGGAATGCTGGGGGCAGCAGTGGTACTCTAGATGCAGTGATGGGATGCTGGGGGCAGCAGTGGGATTCTGGGGGCAGCATTGGGATGCTGGGAGCAGTGATGGGACTCTAGGTGCAGCGATGGGATGCTGGTTCCATGGCTTTGCAAGAGGAGTATTGCTGCCTTGCTGAGCCTTCACTTCCTCATCCCGGGATTTCCCCACTGGGATGGGTGATCTCTGGGGAGGATTGCTGGGGCTGGGCTGCTGTGTTTCCAGCGAGCATGTTTCCCCACTGTGTAACATTCATGTGCTAATTGCTCCAAAATCCTGGGCAGACAGCTGGCTCCAAGCAGACTGAAGGCAACATTTTCCAGAATTTGGGGTCTGTAGCCAAAAGCAGTGGCTCCCAGACCCACCATGAAGGGCCCCTTGCCTAAGCGGGGCTGGTGCTTCCTCCTCTCTGGATCCACGTTTGCTGGTGTGAACTGGGGGGTCCTGGTGGGTGTCAGGGTGAGCAGTGGCCATGCTGGGGGGGGCCCCATCCACACTGCCCATCCACCCCCGCCGCCTTCCGTCCGCTCCTGCTCGCAGCCTGCCCGGGGGCCACGAGCCAGCCCCTTCCTCGCTCGGGATTGTTTTGCAAGCAGCGTGACAGGATGAGGAGGAAATGTGCCAGGAATGGCTCCATGTCTCCTCTTGGGAGAATCGAAGTCTATTTATAACCCCCTCTTCCCGCCCCCCTCCTCCCGCTCCCCCGGGACGGCGGAGCCGCTGGGGCACAGGCAGACACAGCCCGTCCTGTGCCTGCAGAGCTGCTCCTGCTCCCCATGCAGCAGGCAGGCGTGTTCCTCCTGGCTAGCACACAGAGCCACAGGATCATTTAGGTCAGAAAAAACCTCCAGGATCATCCAGTCCAACCCTTGAGCACACAGCCTTCCTTGTGGCACGCTGGTGTGTGGATGGACACACACATCAATTGTGTGATGCACAGACATGCTCTTGCTGCTGAACCACTGCTGCAGCCCCATGTTCTCCATGCATGGCCTGGCCCTGTGATAAATCCAAATTATCCTGTGGCATGGATGGCATCAGCTGGAGCAGCGATGCTGAGTCCCTGGCAGAGCTTAGAGCCAGGGTACAGCATGTGAGTGAGGTGGAGGAGGGCACTGATGCCTGTCTCAAGGTGGAAATGCTCTCAGCACCTCTCTTAATGCCTGTGTAGATGCTCCAACAGAAGATGGTTTGGAAAGATGGAGGTGCATTGGGAATTTTGGGGGAGGATGAAAAGCAGCCCCTTGGCAGGGCAAGGAGCAGGGGTCTGCATCTCAGGGCTTGCTGTGGTGACGCGTCAGAGCCTGTCCCAGCTGGGAGACTCAACCCCGTTTCTCTCTCTTTCTTCTCTTCCAGATTTCTCCAACCAAGTCAATTCCACATCCCTGAACTCTCCCACGAGCCGGGGGCCCATGGCCACCCCGTCCCTCCACCCGTCCATCGGGCCGGGCATCGGCTCCTCGCTGGGCTCCCCGGGCCAGCTGCACTCGCCCATCAGCACCCTGAGCTCGCCCATCAATGGCATGGGCCCTCCCTTCTCCGTCATCAGCTCCCCCATGGGCCCGCACTCAATGTCCGTCCCCTCCACCCCCAGCCTGGGATTTGGCACCAGCAGCCCACAGGTAAGTGGTGGGGATGTCTGTGCTGCTTGTTTAGCTGGGGAGAAGCCACATCCCTGGGTTTTCTCATCCAGAGAGGCCCCAAAGAGAGGCGAAAAGCAGAATCCCAAAGGGGAAACTAAGCTGGAGGCATCCTGCTCCTTTGGCTGGAGCTACCTGTGGGGCTGCCCTGGGTGGGCTATGAGAGACCAGCAGAGCCAGAATATGGCCACAGATCACCTGTTTGTCCCCAGGTGAACAGGGGGTGAAAAGGGAGCAGTGACCACCCCTGGGTCACCTGCAGGCAGGAGCCACAGCCACCCTAAGACTGTCTGTACCCTGGGATTATCACCTCAGCACATCCCCTCCAGGGCCAGCCCATGGTCCCAGTAGAATCATAGAGTTGTTAAGGTTGGAAAAGCCCTCTAAGGTCGTTGAGTCCAATCATTAACCCAGCATTGCCAAGTCCACCACAAAACCATGCCCCTGAGGGCCACATCCACAAGCCTTTTGAACACTTCCAGGGATGGTGATTCCTGGACTAATCCTGTGCAGCCTGTTCCAATGCCTGACGATCCTTTCAGTGAAGAAATTTTCCCTAATAGCCAATCTAAACCTGGCACAGCTTGAGCCTGTTTCTCCTTGTCCTGTCACTTGTGCACACCCAGGAGTCCCCTGCCCGCTGCCCGTTTCTCCTTGCAGGGGAAAGATTGGCCTTTGCTGGCAGAAGATTATGTAAAAAACCCTCCAACTAGGGAGAGATAAGCTCTTTTTAAAAATAGCCAGATCGGGGCGCTGGCCAGCCCCTGCCACCTGTTGCTGGCTGCTCGCACGGTATATGTTTAGTAAAAGGGCAGATTAAGGAATTGGCCACCACCTGCCACTCGCTGTGGGTTTATTTATTCCAGGCCCTCTCTGGGAGTCAAGCACCTGCCAGCACCTTTATTTTTAAATATTGGCTTGATTTATTTCCAGAGATAACAGGTCTTTCTGCGTGGGGCTGTGCTGGGTCCCATCCCTAGGGACCCGCAGGCAGCTTCCCCAGGGTCCAGCATCCCAGTGCTGGACAGAGAGGCAATTTGCCTTTGGATGAGATTCTCCCAGGCAGGATCCAGCCCGTGACCCCCATAGACCTGCACCCTGCTCCCCACTGTGGGTGAGTGGGGTGGACACATTGCCTCCCATCCCGAGGGAAGGGGAACTGAAACGGCGCCTGGGAACGGGCAGTCAGAACAAAATTAGCAGCAGCAGCGCCAAAGTGGTGGGGAAGGAGCAGGAAGGGGGACGTGAGGCAACACGGGGTGAGCCACAAGCTGGGGAGACGACGGGGAAGGGGCAATGCACCCCCAGCGCCGATTGTAAGGTGCAGTTTGCTTTTGGGGCTGGCAGGCCGGGGGAACTGAAACGAAACACAGCTCCAGGGCAGGAAGGGGAAGCGAGAGCGTGGTGGGATGGTGCCGGGAGTGCGCTGGCAGCGCCGCAGCTCCAGCCCTCGGTGCGGCATGAACACCCATCCTCGTCCGGGGACTTGTCTTAAGTGGTTTTCCTCGAGGTGACAGTTCGGAGGCCTTCAGCCTAATGGCTCCTGCCATCTGCTCCCTGTCTGGGCGCATTAGGTCCCTGTCCCCATCCCTGCAGAGGCGCCTACCTGGGCCGGCAGAGGAGGAGGAGGAGGAGGAGGAGGAGGAGGAGGGTGCTGGCGGCGAGGCCGATGCGCGGAGGGGAGCGCGGCCCCCGCGCCGCTGCACCGGCCCGGCAGAGCGCCGGGGTAATGAGGCGTGTGGCCCCCGTCGCCGGGCGGGGATGGCACTGATGGAAGGTGGTTTGCATCAGATGGCAGACGCCACTTGCCATCAGGCCATGCCTCGTCGCCTCTGGAAAGCCAGCAGAGCAGAAGGGCACGCGGTGCGCGAGGTGCGGTGGGTCCCCAGGGTGGGGCCTCTCCACTCTGGCTCCACCAGGGTGAGGAGGAGCCATCAGGCTCCCAGAACAGGGCGTTCTACCTATCCCATCCCGTTCTGCAGAGGTGAGGACCCAGCAGCCCTCAGTGCCAGTGCTGGAGGATGCTCCAAGTGCTCCCCCTGCCCTCCCTCCAGCAGTGTGAGCTTCCCGGGATCCCACATGGTTTCCAAATGCAGCCCCAAAATCAGGACATCAGGCAGGGTGTCCTGCCATGGGATCTCAGCACACCAGGCCCTTGTGGGAAGGGGATGCTGGTGCTGGGCTGGGCTGTGGGTGAGATGTGCGGGGCAGGAATAGTTCGCAGTAGTGAGCAGGGTCCCAGCCAGACTGGGGGGGTCTAGACGCAGCAGCTCTGCAGCTTACCGGGGTTTAACGTATTACTTAAACCCTCTTACCTAAAAATTCTGTGAAAACACGAAAAAAAAAGTGCAGGATTTTCAGTAAGAGCTGTGAGGGAGGGACTTTGCATGCAGCTTGCAGGGCTGTGTGGCGCAGCCGCCCCAGGCATCGCTGGCAGCAGCTCGGGGCGCCCGGGGGTGAGCGGGGAGAGATCAGACACGGGATTAGGCTTTTCCAGAGCCGCCGTCTGCCTTTGCACAATGCTCTTTGTAAAGGTGCCTGGGGGACCGGGGAAGGGGTGGGATTTTTTTTTTTTTTTGGGTGGAGGAGGAATAACTGTGCTTCTGGCTGTGCTTGCCAGAAGGGATGGGATTCGGTCCCCTGGTGCAATGAGCTGAAGAGGGAAGGGAAGGCGCCGAGAGATTCTGGCATCACTGGGGAAGAAAAGCACTGATTCCTCCTGCGTCCCCACTCACTTGCTGAGCTGGAGCCATCCTGTCCCGGAGCAGAAGTGCTGTGCCAAGGCGAGGGGCTGCTGCCTCCCCCTCTGCCCCCTCCCTGCCTGCACGTGCTGCCGGTTTCGGCAGCCAGCCGGGAGGGGAAGGCACGGGGCAGGCGCCAGGGCGGTGTGGGAACCCTGGGGTGCACGTGGTGCCTCTGCTGAGGTTTCAGGCTAGCACTGGGAGAGGAACCAATGACTTCCCCTGCCCCAGCCCGGGGCTGACTCAGCGCCCACCAGCTGATGCACGGGACCCCCACCCCTCCTGGGCTGGTCTTGCTCTGCTCACCATCCCACTGATGCTCTCAGGGGGCTGCTTGGGTGGACTCTGTGGACTTCTGGGGCTTGGGGAAGTGGTGGTGAAAGGCTTATCTTCGTCAGGCAGCCGTGGCCTCTGCCCTCAGTCCCACGTGTCCACGGCCAGTGATGCAGTGTGACACGAGCTGTAGCCACCAGCTGCACCTGGGAAATGGCTGCATTTCCCACAGAGTGCACTGGGAGGGATTGCTGGGGGTGGTGACCCTGAGTGGCAGCCCCTGCTCCCAGGGTAGCACAGTGAGAGCATGTGCCTGGGGACCCAAAGAGAGAGGTTTCTGCCTGGGGACCTGCTTGTCCCTCCCCTCTTTGCTCTATGGAACAGCAGCTGAAGCCCAGGATTGTATCCCTCAGTGACACCAGGTCCTGGCTGCCTTTGATTCATCAGCTGGCCCACCAGGGTGGGAGAGGGAGGCAGATCCATCACATTTCTCCAGGGTGAGTTTACCTGGCTCTGTTCTGTGGTTGTTAGTCATCTGCCTGCCAAATATTCCCCACCAGCCTGGAGACTTAAAAGCCGGAGGAATGGATGCTCTGCTCTAATTGACAGATCACAAGCCTTGGGACTTCCCTGAATTAATTTGTGACAAGTGCAATTGCTGAGGATCTCTACTAGGTAGAAAAACACAACAAACTGAAGCAGGATCCTGTGTATCCAACTTGGGTTTAGAGGTTGACAGTGATGGTGGCTCTGCGACAGTCCCCGGTGCAGTGGTCCCCGCAGAGGAGCACTCTGTCCCTGGGGTCACTGAGTCTGGCTCCCCCTCAGACCCTCACAGGGTCTGCATGAGCTTGTCTCCCTTATAGATGGGTCAATCCTACATCTCCCTGCCTCAGTTTCTCTCTGTAGACAGGAGGATAACAGCCCTGCCCTGCTCCACAGGAATCCTTCACTCCACATCAGTGCCATGCCAGCACTCAGCTTCCACCCCATTCTTTGCTTGCTGGGGGCCAAGCTCACTGGGGAGGGAAGGAGACACGTGGAAGTTGCAGAGATGTGTCCCACCCGAGCCAGTTCTGGAAAGCCAGGCCCTGTTGCATCTGGGATCTATTTATTTACCATGAAGCGTTCCTTTGGAGAGATAATGCTGAAAGGATATGCACCAGTGTCCTGGCCTTCATCACCCATGCAAGCACTCGCTCCCAGCCAGCTGCTCTCCCATGAGCCATCACTGCAGATCATCTTCCCTGAGTGCCCAGCTCTTATGCCAGGGCAGTGGGTGAGCACTCGTGCCCAAATCATGAACCCAGAGGTTCAGCTTTGTGGTGGGTGTTTTAAGTGGTGCTGGTCCCCACTGGAAGCTTGTCCCCTGCTCGTCCACCCAGCCCCATGTCCCAGCTGGCACAGCCCCACATCCCATGTCCCTGGTCCCCCCTGAGCCCTGTGCTTCTGCCTCGACAGCTCAACTCGCCCATGAACTCCGTCACCAGCACAGAAGACATTAAGCCACCCCTGGGGCTCAATGGAGTCCTCAAAGTGCCAGCACATCCCTCAGGAACGATGGCCTCCTTCACCAAGCACATATGTGCCATCTGTGGGGACAGATCTTCAGGTAAGGCTGGTGCCTGCCCCGGGAGGGGCTCACAGTGGCGGGCTCTGGATACGGGTGCCCTGGGAGAGGGTTGACATGACTCCCCAGCTCCCTGTGGCACAGCTTCCTGTGTTCTCAGAGGAGAGATGAAGAGTCCCTTATTGACCAGCCTGGTCCAGGGCAGGCTCTGAGCTGAGCTGGCAGACCCCAGGTCCCTCTTTAGCAGTGGGGTTACATCTTCAGCCCATCTGAAAACAAGGCATCAGTGAGTGTCCCTCCTTCTCCCCATCCTTTGATCTGCAGTGGTACTGTCACACAGTGCCAGATAAAAAGATGAGCTTGACACAGAGTCTCTCCACTCTGGGAGATAAAGATGTGCTAATTCCCTTTATTCTCACACTGTTCTAAAAGCTCTCTGCTCCAGAAGAGCTCTGGTCGCCTAGTTTGTGAGTCCTTAGGGACCCCTCCTCTGCCTGTACTGTGCACCCACCCTCCAATGCCAGCCCAAAGCCCAGGGTTTTGGAGGGTGGGTGCGTGGTACAGAGCAGGCTGGGTCGTGTGCCTGGCATGGGGGCTTCAGAGGGGGCACAGAGGGCACCCTCTGTTTCACTGCTGCACTGCCTCTCCCCTGATGTATGCCTAAGAAATGCCGAGGGCTTTTCCTGCGTGGGAGGCAGGTTGCAGCCCACAGAGCGCATCCTGATTTTATGGAAGTCAAGTCAGGGCGAAGCCACTGCTCTTCAGCTCCTGCTCACGGCTGCAGGAAACCTTTGCCTCCCCCCAGATCCCGCTGGGAGACAGGCCCCGGGAAGAGCTGACGGTCCGTGTGGGGAGGAGGAGACACTTTTAACCCGAGTCTCGTCCCCCACAGGAAAACATTACGGGGTTTACAGCTGTGAGGGCTGCAAGGGCTTCTTCAAGCGCACGGTGCGGAAGGACCTCACCTACACCTGCCGCGACAACAAGGACTGTTTGATCGACAAGCGCCAGCGCAACCGCTGCCAGTACTGCCGCTACCAGAAGTGTCTGGCCATGGGCATGAAGAGAGAAGGTAAGGCCTGGCCTGCCCTCAGCACCCGTGGGTGCTGCAGGAATGTTTCCTTCCTTAGGAGGCTCCGTCAGGCTCCTGCCTGCGGCGTCACGGTGGGCACCTGGGGCAGCGTCACCTTGCCGGGGTGACAAAGGTGTGTGTGTGTCGCGTTTATACTTTGCTTTAGTGCCACAGCCAGGGCCTCCCGTGGGCTCCAGAGCAGCGCTGAGCCCCAGAGTGGTGCCTGGTGATGGGTGGGCCATGGGCCACCTTCCACTAGCCCAGGTTGCTCCAAGCTCCGTCCAACCTGGTCTTGAACACTTCCAGGGATGGGGCAACCACAGCTTCTCTGGGCAGCCTGTGCCAGGGTTTCACCTCCCAGTCCAGTATCTGATTTTTTTCTCATGAGGAAGAAGAAAGAAATTCAGTCTCATAAAATATAGCTCTCCCCTCACTGGAACTTAAATTTAGGATCTAAACCTCCCTGGTAGTGCCTCTTTTAAGTGCTCTTTTTAAATGCTGACTCCGTCTGTTCTAATCTGCTGGCAGAACAGGCTTTTACCAGACATGACGTGAAAATGACCCCAGTTCTCTGCTGCCTTCTCCCCTTACATCTTCAGAGCCACACTTGCCTCTCTGACAGGCTGATAAAACCGTCCCTGTGGCCAGCAGAACTCCAGCCTGGGTCCCTTTGAAGAGCACTTAGTCCTGTCTGGAGCATTGATTAAATGGGGCAGTGCTGGAGCTGTACTGAGTGTTGGGCAGACCTTGCCACCCTCGATTTATGGGGTTACCCAAGGACCCACGACGTGCAGAGTCATCAGATGTCAAAGCTGTCTGTGCTGGAGGTGTGGGGGGATTGCTGGGGCACCCAGGGGACCTCCTTGGTCCTGCTGAGCTTAACCCTTTGTGCTCAGAACAAATCTTCCTGCCCTACCAGACCTCTGATCTTAAATCGAGAGGCTGAGGCATTCAGAGAGTGCCTATGAGGATGAGTGGGACAGTGCAGGTGTGTGTGGGGGCTGGCATTGCCCTGGATGCTGTGCAGAGGGGCAGAGACATGGGGAGCACTGGATCCCTTGGGAGATGTGCAGCAGGACAAGGAAAATCTAATCCAAAACCTGAGCTGTGGGAGACTCAGGTGACTAAAAAGAAGCCAAGAAGTCTCCTGTGTGTTCAGCAGCAGCACTTGCTTCTCAGGGGAGAAACGTGGAGCATCCCATTCCCCTGACATTGCCTCCAGAGCCTTCCTTCAGCCCCCAGGACATCAGCCAAGGTCTGCAGGGTTGGGAAAACCAGCAGGAGTGCTGTAACTGCAGCCTGCAGTGACATCCTGTGAGCAGGTACCTGCGCTGTGCCTGCCGTTAGCGGTGATTGCATGGGCAGCACCGCTCAAATTACGGGTCCATTAATTAACTTCTAAATGGTGGTGGAATTCCCCAGGGAGCGCGTACAGTAGGAGGACTCTATTAATTCATCTTGATTAACATTATCACAATGAATAGCAAATGAATTCATAACGATCAGACAGTTATTTAAAAGGGTGACAGATGGGATCTTGGTAACTCCAGAAGTGCGCTCAGGCAGTGCTGGCTGATCTGGTGAGGACAGCGTTGGAGAAGGGCAGGAAGCTGGTGATTTGGCAGACAGTAGATGATTGGGGCATAATCCCCATGTAGGGAAAGCTGGAATAACTCCCCTGGTCTCCAAATAAAGCTCTGTCTTGTTATAAACCTAAAAATTCAGTGCCTCGTGGAGATGTCCAAGTGTTGTCCTGGAGCTGAAAGTCAGAAGTTGGATCTTGCTGAGCTTTGGTTTTGAGTGAAACTCTTGAGTTTCACGTGTGATATCCACATGATTTGTCAAAAAAAAAAGAAAAAATCTCTTCCCATTGCAGCCATCCCAGCTCACTGCTGCTTCCCAGCAACTTTGCCAGCCAGAAATGTTGTCCTTGTCCTTACACCAGTCCTCTTGCATCCCACCTCTATTTTGGGGAAGAGTTTTGGGCTAAATCCTGCATTGCTAATTTGTTTTGCCTAAATGCAACATAGCTGGCTTTCTGTCCTCTAGCATAAACTGTTGTATCTTTTAAGTAACAGAGCCAGGGTAATGGGCCTCATTTCCCTGTAAAATATCTTGCTCTGGAGACCTAATTTATAGCTGCATAAAGGCATAGCAGATTCCTGCTGGGAAGTATCTCTCTTGTAGCCCAAAGGTACTTGGATGTCGTGGAAGTACAGTAAAACCCTCTACAGTGAGTACTGTGGCTGTGATGAGAGGCAGAGCTGTGGTGGTGATGCTGGGAAGAAGAGGGATGAGGGTCACAGTCGTACCCAAAAACCTGTGCCAGAGAGTAAAAGGAAAGGAGCTTTTACTCAGCTGAGAAATTGGATTAGAGAAGTAAAATCAACAGGACCTCTTGGGCAGCTGATGAAGGTCTGGAAGGGTTTGATCCTGACAGCTGGGGGGTCTCTAGGTGAACATGCCAAGAGCAGACCCAGAGGGATGAACCTTGTGCTTGGCCAGGGTAGAAGCAGCAGCATGAGGGAGGTGAGAGGCAGAGGGTGGCTGTGAGGTACTGCTGGGAGGACAGGAATGGCTTCAGGGCTACAAGCCTTGGTTTAAAGGGGTGAAAGCCTCCAGGAGCAGAAGATTCTTCCTGTTGTGTGCATCTCTTCTTGCTGTTCCCTGTTAAAAACATACAGGATAGTTCATGGTGAATGAGCCTCACGGCTCTGAGATATTGCAGCTATAATAAATAAGCAACTGGGAACATTTTTCCCTTATGAATTACTGCCAGCTGTGTGAGGCTTTGGTTTTTATACTCTGTCTCCCACTAAATACCGGATAGTCAACAAAATTAAGATTACCATCAAGGATCTTGACTAATGCAGGGATTATTATTATTATTGTTGTGGGGGAGGCTGTTTGTATCCAGAAGCAGAACTCTCCCTGCTTGATCTGTTACTCATTAGGGTCTAAGGTGTCTGTGGATCAGCAGCCTTGGATTTCAGAGGGGGGGAAAGTGGAAACTGCCTTGGAGTTAGGGAGGCAGAGGAGGGAGTAAACACCGAGGGTCTTGGGATGAAGGGGTCTTGTGTGCAGTGCCGTTAGCTGGGTTAACATCGGAGGTGAAGGGGGTCATCGGAGGCTGCAAACGCGTTGCAGCCCGTCGCCGTCTCGTGTGAGGAGGTCCCGGCCCCTCCGTTGCTGGCAGCGCCGCCGGCTCGCCCGGCGAGCAGGAAATACCAGCGAGGAGCCCTTTCTCATGCTCCCGCCGGCCGCTTGGACGGCGTCACAGGCAGTCAGGGCGTTGGGCACACCGGCCGGCCCGGCGCCGCTCCGGCCCGTCTGCTTACCCCCGGCGCTGCCGGACGTGAGCGGCTCCCGTGGCCGAGCCAGCCGCGGCTCCCGGGACCTGCCGGGCTGCCGGCGGGGCTCCCCCGGGCCGGGCGGAGGGCTGGGCGGGCTGGGTTTGATGCCAACTGGGTACAGTGGGTGTTGATGCATCTCCACCATCTCCACCATCTCCACATCTCGTAGCCCGTGTGGAGACCACAGAGCTGTTCTCCTCCAGCACCTGTGGCTCAGGCTGCACAGCATCCTTCCTAAATCGGGTGCAGGTACCCTGACAGCGTGGCCCGGGTACAGCACGGCCGTGGCTTGTCTCCACCAGCTACTGGGACGTGATCCAGAGCCATGCTCTGAGCACCCAGGATATCTGTCCAGCTGCACACCTGATCTCTGACTTCAAGGCTTCATTAAACTTCACAGCCTGAGTTAATTCTGCCCCTTCTCCTGTGTTTGTGGGTTGGTTTTCCCCCTCTCTCTTGCACTGCTGTCGAGCTGAGGGGTTTAGCCTGGGAGAGGTTGGACTTGCAGCATCTCTAGTCCACAGTCTGGAGACCTTCCCATGTCTCCAGGGAGCTGTTTAGATATGTCACTTAGTCCAGAGGGACTGTAGATTCCCCCTGTTCTAATTTGGAGCTCAGCTGCTGCACTAACAACAGTCTCTCACTGAGCTGTGCCCAATCCCCTGCCATAGCTGTGCATTCCCTCTGCACCCCCTGGAGCTGGAGCCATCCTGGCTCTTGGAGCATCCCTTGGGACCAACAGGAGCAAAAAGGGTCTGGGGAGAAAGAGCAGGAATTCAGGTTTCCAACCCACTGCCCAACTGAATGTAAAAGCAGGCAAGTGGCCATAGCCTAGTGGAGGGGCAGAGTTCAAGAGCACAGTTATTTTTAGTAGTAATTTTGGAATGGAAAATGTCTTCCAGCTTAATGAGTTTGTTTCTTATATCCTTTTAAAGTGCTGCTGTTTAAACCAGCTGGTTAAATGATGCTGGGTTTGTTTTTTTGTTTTTAAGGATGCTCCTGGGTTGAGAAAAAGGGTTTGGTTTATGGTTTTCTCTCCTTTGCCAATGTTGCTGTTTGCTTATACTTCAGTACCTGGCTTTGGAGAGTGAAGTGAGCTAGGGATTTTTGCTCTTGCTTTCCAGAGTTGTTCCTCATGTGAACTAACTGCGTGCAAAGGTTTCAATCCACGTTTTAACACTCCAGAGTTATATTTTTTAATTACCACAGTGGTATTTTGCGTTCCTTAAAAAAATTCCGGTGATCAATTGAAAATGCTGGAAAAAAAACCCCCACCGTTTATTTCACGTGTCTCAGCTTTTGAGGTTGTTTACAGTAGCAGAAAGCTGCACCTCTGAAGAAAAAAAAAGGTGACACACGAAAGCAGAGCAGAAGAAACGCTGTCTGAATTAGTTTCCTCAGCTGTCGTGGCATTTTCGATACAAACAGGTACCTCAGGCATAAGCACTTCAAGGTGCTGATGATCCACAGTGAAGATGTGGCTTCATAAAAGGCAGCAGAGGCCAATAAATTCCACTGTGAGTGAAATGGAAATCCCCAATAACCCCCCACCCAGCTCCTCAGAAATAACGAGCCACCCACCTGCAGGGTGGGAGAAGACTGAGCGGGTTTGGGGCTCGGAGGCATCGATGCCTTCCCCATGTACTG